TTGCTGGAGTCCAGCCTCTGACTCTCAACACTGTGCGTCTGCCTGAAAAGAGGGCAAGAAGGGAGGGAGATTCCACTTACAGCAAAGCTGAAAGGTCCATGTGGTGTATTTTCTGTAAATACTTAAAATTTGATCTGTATATTCTTTTCTGAATGAGGAAAAGAATGGAAACAGGAACAAGGTGTTCACACAGCTCAAAGCCCAGGTGAGGCAGTGTTCAGACAAGCAAGCATTTTGCTGTAGGAACTGGGAAGAGGCTTCTGCCCACAGGCAGACTGGTGGTGAGGATGCAATATCTCTGACTTAGCTGGCTGGCTGAAGAGAAGAAGAGCCTCCCCAATGCCCAGTTGCAGAGCTTAAAGGCCAGGCTTGCAGGAGGACCTCCCCAGTGAGTTCCTCCAGCATGCCCTTCAAGGAGTAGTTGTCATTTTTTCCCCTGTGTCGTTGTAGGATTTTTTAGTGCCTAGAACTAAGCTGTGGCTTTGTCAGCCATCTTCTGGAGGAAGGAATTGTGACAGCAGTCATCTCATATTGCTCCCTGGAGAATCCAGCACCATGAGTGCTTCCAGATGTAAGATTCAGGACTGCTTCTCCTCTCACTTTGCTATGGTCACTCCTGTAAAAGACCCTCTTTGCACTGTGTTTCCCCTGCGTGCATTCATGCTAGGCTCACACTGGACCCCTCAGCTTTGCCCAAACAGCACCTGTAATGCTGAGAAGTATCAGAGTTCAACAGCATGTGTACAAATTGCCAAGGGTGCTGTTTAGAGCTGACTGCTGGATAATTTGCTGCTGGCTGCCTTAGAGCCTGGGGGCATTGACACAATGCTTCAGGGCATGTCAGCGACTGCTGTTCACAGAGACAGCTCAGGAGAAAGTCTGGTAGCAACTGGCCCAAGATTTAATCTGAAAGCTCACCAAGACCCAAGGTTGGAGGAAAATAACTTGAAAATTATACATAAACCAGCCAATGCAGGAGCAAATGCTATTCTTCACCTGGGAGGAGAACCAGAGGGAGAGTGGTTTGCTATTTTTGAGTTTGATGTATGAATAATTTGTATTTGTATCTCTTCATATCATGGCTTCAGAACCAGTAATCCTCAATTCTGGACACTGCTGGATGGCAAAACTGGGTTGACTGAGCAAACTGAAATGAAAGACGGTCACTGATGACAGGAATTGGGACTGGGTTGGTAACATGTATCTTTAATTCCTTCATCAAGAGGAGGACGTTGGTTTTGAAGATATCTGTGCAAGAAAAGTCTTCTGGCATTCTGTGAAGGTATGCTGACTGATGGACCAAACTCTGTGCTCACCAAGCCTTGGCTAAACTGGTATGGATTAACCAGTGCAGAGCAGCACCCACAGAGAATGAGCCCAAATTTGTCTGTGTCCAGTACAAACCCACTAACCCTTTCTGCCTTCTCTCATGGAAGGTAAAAAGTACAAGAGCTTGAAAGTACAATGTGGGAGAGCTGGCTGCATGCTAATCAAATGGACTGTGTGACTCATTTTAGCCACTTTTTTCCTAGTTGTTTTCTAAGGAAATTTTGTAGTTTTGGGAACAGTATGCAGAAACCTCTGAAACATTTGTTGGCAGTTTGTAATCCCCTCAGCTTCTCTAGTTCTCCCTTCTTCCTCCTCACAGAGCGAGCCACAGAGCTGCATGCTGCAAATGTACTGAAAAGGCTAGCTTGATTAGGAAATGTTGAGTGCAGTTTCAAGACTATTGCACAGAGTGGGGTAGTGTGATGACATTTGCAAACTACAGAAGAAACCAGCTTTGCTGTAAAACATCCACCCTGGGCATCAATATTGACCTATAGTGCTGTGCAGCAACTCAGTTTGTGATGGCATGTTGGCTAGAAAGTCTTCATTGTCTGAAACTCATGTTGGCTTCCATAAACAAGCTTTTACCTTGCTGGTTTGGATAGTGCCATGGGAAGCAGGCAAGAGATTCAATGCAGGTTGACAGTGAAGAATCTCAGCTTCTAATGGGAGGTTTGCAGACATGCCCTTAAGCCTTTTGGTTGAATGTTCAAGGGTCTTGCTTCTTTTCACACCAATTCAGTTTCATTACTGTTTTGGTGTTGTGTTTGGTTTTGGGGTTTTTTATTAGGTTGGTTTCCCTTTTGTTTGTTTGCTTGATTTGGGTTTTTTTTCAGTCTGTTTCTTGCCCTGGATGTGTAAAATCAATATTGCTTTGTGTGACCGCCCAAGGGAGCATGAAATATCCAAACAGCATTTTTCTACATGACTCAGATCCCAGGTTCGTACAGCTTGCTCCCAGGTGTGGCCAGATGCCACGAAAATGAGCAGGCCAAAATCCTCATACTTATAAAAAGTCCTAAACTCCTGAGATCCAAAGGACTTGATCTGCAGGTGTCCGCAGTTTGGAGGCAAGGGATCACCATCCTTTTCCAGAAGGCTGTTTTTACCTGCCAGCCCATGTACGGATTTAATACCCTGTGTTTGGGCATCCAGGTTTGCTGCTTTTAACAATTAATCTTTGAGATGCAGTGGCTGGAAAAGATAATTCTGATTAACTGCTCTGACCTCCTGAGTAACAAATGCAGCACATTTTGACAGTTAACTTTAAAGCAGTGTGGGGATGTTTGCCTTGAAGATGGAGCCTGTCTTGTTCTGTGCATTGCAGTTTGTTCTTGGGTATTTAGTTTGTGGAGTAATATGTCAACAGTGTTCTTGTTCTCATAATGAAAGCATTTGAATAGTCTGTACATTTTGCATACGTATATGAGTTTGTTTGTTTGTTTCTTTGCCTCGGGGCCTGAATCAATTCTGATCCATGCTGTCATACATCAGAACTAGTCCCAGTAAAGTGCAGGAAGTCCCACAGATGTAAATGACATGTGAGCAAGATCAGAAATAAACAATGGTATTTTATCAGTCATGCTGCAAACATGGTGTAGAAACTAGCAAGAAGGAGTAATTACTTCAGATCTTCTGTTCATGTAGCAGAAAATGAAGGGAGATGCATAGTTAACTGCTTCTGTTGGAGAAGATAATTGGGAAAGATCTCTGTTAGAGATGGACATGGACTGAGGGTTTTGGATCTGAATTTAGGACTGGGCTTTCAGAAATTACAAAATGTGGTGGTATTTGCTTTGGGTGTTCCTAGTCACTTACGGTTGGTTGTTTTTTTTTCTTAATTTCAGCACTGAGTTACATTCCAATGAGAGTGAGAAAACATTTTGGTTTTCAGCAATTTCTTTGTGCTGCATCTTCACAAAGAATGGAAATAAAGCATCTGCCCTTTTTTCTTTCCATAGACGGTGGAAGTTCACCCATTTCAAAGCTGTTTGGGTACAGGTAGGAGAAAGAGAGAATGAAAAAGAAAGCCTAGGAAAAAAACTACACAAACTACATGAGCAAACCTACTTCTTTCCCGCAGTTAAAACCAAACTAAAAACAAAACAAACCTACCCAGACCTTTCCATTCCTCTTTTACTGTGTATTTTAAAACACAGTGCAGATGAAAGCGGAACTGGACAGTAACTCTATTCCTCATTATCTAACTATCACTCAGGCACAGGGGCCAGGTTTTACTTTTAGCAGAAGGGTTGGCCTCAGTACTGTCTGCATGAAAGCTCGGGAGTAGCTTGTGGGCGCTCCCAGGGAGTTTAGTGTGCATAGTTACTCAAAGGCATAAGTAAGCATCTTCCAGATCAGGGGCTTGGACAGAGTTGCAAGAATATAATATATGGCTGCAGCCCAGGCATGCTGATAACATAACTGAAAGCTGCTGGATTAATGCAGGCCCAGGCAGCAAGCACCAGAGGATCTCCATGTGGTTTGGCTGCAGAGCCAGGCAGGAGTGGAGAGGCTAGGAAAGGAAAACCTGAGAGGCAAAAACTGGAAAGGAAGGACAGCAGTTGAGTGCTGGAAGTGAGAAAACTGATCCTATGTGAAAGGTCCCAAAGTCTGCATCACACTGGCATGGATAGCTGATGGCAAACGTGCTTGGGATAATGCAGACACTGACAAACAGCCTGGCCTTACAAAATATGCTATACAGCTTACTGACCTAGAGAAACTAGGGATGTCTCTCTAAAAATTAATGATTTTGCTTGAATTGGTTTGGGTTTTGGCCTCTGTTTCCAGAGCTGTATTGATTAGTCTTGCTCCCAGCCAGGTCAAATGGAAACAGCACTGAGATGTTGAGGTGCATACCTTATTGCACCTTGTATTGCAGGCTGTCCAGGAGGGGGCAGAAGGTGAGAAACAGTGGAACTTGCTTTGGTTATAACTCCAAACAAAACGCTGGTGTTTACTTTCCTGCGTGGGCTCTGTGGATGTTGAGCTGCTCCTGAGACAGGGTCCTCAGCTGGTGCTGGTGAGTGTATGGAGAGATGGGCAGTGGCAGGATCCAAGGACCAGTGACGCTCTTCCATCAGGCACTGCAGCTAGGAAAGTGAAGCCTGTCTGCTCATGAGAGTGCCAGGGAACAGGAGCACTGCAGCCTGCAGTCCTGTGCTCGAAAGGGAGTTGAGCCCTGCAGGGAGCCTTGGAGCAAAACCACCTGCAATGGCCGGAGAGTCAGCTCTCACCTGTGAGCAGAGCCCTGCTTCCCTGCTCTTTACACTGCTGGGGGGGTAGGAGATCCCTCTGGCCATGAGCCTGTCTCCCAAGCCAAAGCTTTCTGGGGGTCTCCACCCTGGGCTGTGTGGTGGTGAGGTGCCCAGACATGGGGCAGCCGGTGTGGTTGCTTGCACGGCTTCCCTGGTGACCTGCCTCGGGCTGCCTTCATCTGGGCAGCTCCATGCAGCCCAGGCCCGCTGAGCTGACATGGTTGCAGTGTGAAGGTGCAAAGTGCTTGCCCTCCCCCGTCTGTCTCTTGCCCCACTTAGGGGCTTTGCACCCCTGCGGCAGGATGGGGAGAGCTGCTGCTTTCACAACCTGTGAGTGTTGTCACTCGCATCCAGACATTTCCTGTTATCTAACCTCAGCCTTATCTTCCCCATTCGCAGCTTCCTCTCGAAGGAGGAGCGGCCCCTTCAAAAGTGAGCTGGGTGCTCGGGCTGTGCCCCCACCACGCTTCTCCCGCACAGCCCTGGTGCCAGCCCTGCGTAGCCCCATGCCCCTGGCTACGTCCACATTGAGCCAGGCTGGCTCAGCACGGTAGGTGCCAGCTCCCATGGTGGAAGGGGTGGTTGGGGATGGGGGAGGATCTCTCCTTCGGGGGTGACCTCCTGTTTCTCCTGCAGAAGGTCCCAAAGGACCATGGAGGTTGGGACACCAAAACCTGTGGGGTGTCCATAGTCCTGGCGATGCAGAAAGCTGTACTTGTATCCCAAATCATACCTCGAGATTTGGGAGTACTGAAGCCAGCTCAGGTTTGGAATGCCTCTCCTTGGCATTGCGAGTGTGTCTGCCTGAGCCAGGTCTTTTTGGTATGTCCCTTCAGGGGAAAAGCAGTGGTATTGGTCTGGGTGTACTTTGTTAAGGGTAGGATAGGGGATGGGAATGCTGACAGTCCCAGCCAGGGATTGCTGCCCTCCAGACCGTGATTCATTGATGAGATTAATTATAATTAATAGTGATGTGTTTGAAACCCTAATTGGTACTGGGATGCACGCATGTGCTCCACCTGCTCACACGCACGCACATGCTGCAGATGAGTTGCTGGCAGTAGGGAGATTTTGATCTAAATTAGTCACAGATGAGGTGGCACAAAGAGCAGGGGAAGTTGTGGGGTGGAGGAGGGTTTTACCAGGGAGACACAGTGCCCCAGTAGGGCACAGTCGCTCTCTTCAGCTCCTTTTCTTGCTGTCCCAATGGCTTCAGGACAGTGGATGAAGGTTTACCACACACCCCTCTTCCCCCCTTTGCATGGCAGGGACATGAGCAGCCATGGGGGCAGAGTCCAGTGTGCTGCACTCAGGTGAGTGCAGGGCCTACGGGGGGGTGGGGGGGGGCAGCTTGTGGCTGGTGGACTCCAGGTTACAGAGGGTTTATTGGGCCCTTCACATGTGCTTTTGGGTGAGCCATGAGGTGCCGGTTGCAGCATTTCTGGTTCATGTCTTTGTGTGCTGTTCCTACAACCATTGCAGCTCCTGGTGCTGCAGGAAAATCCCCCCAGGATTTGGGGACTGAGCCCTGTGTCAGGAGGGGAGAGGCTCCCTTGGTGCCAGCAGTGTGCTTCTGGAGACTGCATGAAATAGGGACACGTGCATGGTGCTTCCTCTTGGTGCAGGATGGAGGGAAGGGTAGCATTTGGCTGCTCCTGGGAGTGTTTGGACATGCAGGTGAGGGGTGCAAATGACACTGAGGTGCCAGCAGCAGGACGGGAAAGGACGTCAAGGTATGAGGTATGAAACTGCATGGTTTCTTGTTAGAAGCAGGACACATTTCTGTGTGAGGGAGAGTTCTGAATTACATTTCCCACTTTTTGGAGTAGATTTGAAGAGGAAGTTGGGACTCATAGGACAAGACGGAGTAGAAGTTTTCAATGAAGCAGGGCTAGGCAGGGGGGTGTCCAGCTTGGGCTTTCTTTCAGTTATATGACAAAAGCAAGGAGAAAATCAGCATACAGAGGGCTGCAGTGTTGTTAGCATGACAGGGTGGCATGGATGGTGGTGGTGGGAACACATGTTGGTTTTATTCTTCCTGCAGTTGTTTGGAGACCGTCCTCACTGCATTACTTCAGGGTCTGTCTCACTTAGATCCTCTCCAAAGCTGGGACAACTGCAGTACCTGTCATACAGTTTCCAGGAGCTTTCCTTAGGACATGGAAGTTGCTTACCACACCATCCAGTAACTGCTGCCCAAAGACAGCTGGAAGCCCAGGCTGAGGTGGCAAGACACCTCACAGTCACTCTAGAGTGGGAGGGAGAGGGCATCACCTCCTGCCTGCCACCTCCTGGGCAGGGACAAAGGTGTTGGAAAAGCTGTTGCCCTGTGCTGCTGTTGCACAGGTAACAAGGGGTAAGTAATTTATGTGCCACTGATAAGGCTCCCTCTTTGAACGTAAGACCCCTTGGAACATGGAGCATGGCCTCATTGGCAGCAATAGCTCTCTTAGCCTGGAGTTGCTCCCTGCAGCAGAGCATGCAGCCATGGAACAGTTTTGGCACCTGCCACTGAGGAGCAGGAGTTATTCATTAAATGGCTGCACCATTTGTCCTCTTGCTCTGTTTTTGTATTGTTAACTGTCTCATCCAAATCAGCAGAGGTGCTACAGGGAACTGTTCTTGGGTATATGGCCTGGCTTGCCTGAGATGAAGCAAGCCTATCAGGCTTTGCTGGAGCCTGCCTGATAGATGAGATCAACCTTACTGAGCCAAATATTTCACTGTTTGTCAGGCAAAACTCCCAGCAGGGTCAGCTGAAGGTCTGGGAGCATAGGAAGGTCCTATATGGAACAGGACGGCATTCAGTGGAAGTCTGCCATGAGCAAAGCCTCCTTTGAGTTTGACTTTGTTATAACAAAGGCTTCCAGCTCCTAGAAGAAGCATAGCCCAAGGTTACTGATGGCCAGGGGTTCAGCAGACCCTGTTGCCACAGATATGTGGGTATTCTTGCTTTCAACCCAAGCTGCAATTTGAGTTTCACTAAGTGGAAAAGATGACTTTGATTCCAATTCAATCGTACATATTAGGTGCATGTCTTGAAACAGCTGCAGCCTGCATCTTGGGGTGCTGCTACTCGGGAAGTGAAAACCATGCAGCCACATTTGTATGCATGCTGTTATTAGGTTTAGAGTCAGGCCTGTCCAATAATTTTACTTTTCATTTATTTTCTTCAGAAGTTGCAGAGCAGTCTGACAGCCCTGTGAAAATATCTGGGAGATGACATGCAGCTTGGAGGGGAACTTTCTGTGACTTCGATAAGGGATTGACTGAAGGATGCAGGAAGAAGAACGCTTTTTGTTTTCCCCTCAGAGTATGAGTTGATTGCTCAATCTGTTTCATAACACTGAGTTTTTACTTGAAAATACCCACTTCAGCTTGAAACCAGAAGATCTAACAGTGACAAATCCATTCAGATCAGATACTGTCATTATGAGGTGGGGTAACAAGCTCCATTCCCATCTGCTGATAGAATTATCTCCGCTGTGTCCTGTCCTCTTATCTGTCACTCACAGCAACATTTCAAGTGGCTGTTTTCCCCTTCAGAAAGCCACAATGGGGGATTATTTTAAGCTGCAATTGCAGAAGCAATGCTCTTTTCTTCTTCCCTACACCCCCCCCCCCCCCCCCCCCCCGCCTCAGGACCAGATATTCCACTGTTAGAATTCAGCAATGAAGTTGAGGGGAGTCTGGTCACTGATCCCTGCTGAAGAGCCCACTCAGTCTTTCTTCATGTGGCCACTTTGATATGGCCGAGAGTCTTTTGGGGGATGACAGGTTCATTTTTCTTTTCTGACACTGTTCTCATTAATGTGCAGTGTCTAACTCTCACTGAAAATCTTTTCCAGGTAGAGAAAGTGCATCCCTGCTTTATTAACATCAGCAACAACTATGCAAACCAGTCAGAGCCTGTTAAAAAAGCCTTTACTTCTCATGGTACAGCAGCGTTTGATGCGGAAGGAGAGTTATTTGACCAACTGCACTGACAGACCAACTTGAGACAAGGACCCAGGCATCTTTATGACTGGCCTGTTGCTAAACCCCACAAATGAGAGTATTTTGGATTAAGAAATGTTAACCCATAGCCTTGGCTACATTAAAACATTTGCACAAGGATGACAAAATGCTGGGAAGGCCCAGGTCCCTGAAAACAGCTTAGCACCCCTACCATGCTGCTTCATACTTCTGAGTATCACTAGTGGTTCAAGAGGTTGAGAGGGATAACAGAAATTTGGTCTAATTGTGCTTAAATCAGTATGTCTTTTGCTAGGCTGATCTTAAGTCAGCTTGTTAACAATGTTTTCTTATGCTCATGATACACACATACTTCTTTTATCCATTGCAACATACTTTTATCTACCATGGTTGAAATTCACTCTGAATTAGAGGCCAGAACAAAGAACTGTTCACTATCTACATCTCACTAAAGGCCTAAGGTGGAAGGCAGGGGGAATGTAAGAATTGCAAAGCCTTTGTAGTAACCTGGGCTAGAAACTGATTTTATCTTTAAAGCTGTAGTTGTTCCCTTGCTGTTAAGTCTTACTTCACTCTACTGGTTTCAGAGCAGGTATAAATAGTACATATTTGGCATTACCATTTTTTAATTTGTGCTTTTAATTTGATACCTGGAAAGGTATCTTTCATGTAATATTAAATCAGATCCTGTGATCGTCTTTATAAAATAGTGTCCCAGAAGTTAGAGATAGAAAAGGGTTAATAAATTGCCCACTGTATGATGCTGTTAATACACTTCAGCTGAATTCTACTTTTGTGTCTTTAATGGACTACCTTCCAAAATACAGTTAACATGTCACTTTTAGGTTTTCACTTTGAAACTAAAAATAGCACAGCTACTTTCTCACAAACTGGTGCTGCTGGTCATGTGAAATTAAAACAAGGTGACTGGGAAGGAAGCTAAAAGCTTAAAACTCAGCTATGTTTGGGCCCAGCTGCAGAGAACAGGAATGACATTAAAATAGTGTTATGAAGGTGTGAGCCATGACTACCTTTTCAGGGAGAGTTTTATGGTATCAGATCAGAAAAAAAGTATTTTATCCTTTTAAACTGAAATTCTGAATGGTTGACATCTGAGAAGGACACAGAGCACACCAGAACTTAGCAAAATCTTCTCTTATGTATCTTTTGTTACTTAATTTTCTTTAAGTGCATTTCTGCACTAATGCACACTGACATTAGTAGAATAGACCAACCAATGGCATCTTTTGGTCCTTGTGCAAAACAATAGTGTGTGTGTATGCTCACCCTTAAAGTCTGGATTATGTCAGTGTATGGGAGTGGAAAGTTCCACTTACTGCAGGAGGCTTTTTCTGTCTGCTGGAAATGAATCAGAAGAGGGGTAGTTTGAGAACAGAAGAAAAGGTTTCACTTCATTCCTGAAGTTCATTGTTTCTCTACGTGGAGTTTAGTTTTGATTTAGCATCACAATCCATACAGGGGCTCTGCCTGACAGAGGAGCTTCCTGCTGGCAGGCAGAGATGGGGACTGAAGTTTGCGGGGACAGGAGGCTGCTATGGCTGCTTTCCCTTGCAAAACTGAACACACATGGCACTGGGCTTTGACCCAGTGGTGGTGGCTGACCTTGCCTCCAACAGAGTCAATGGCATTGCTGGCACACATGTAGGGGTTCAGAGTTGTACAGTTTAGACAGGCTTGAAGAGGTGTCTCTTCAGATCTTATGTGTAGTTAAAGATATTGATTTTTAACTATATCAGTGCTACAGTAAGAGGTAAACCCCTGAGCCTGTTCCTGCCAATAGAAATTTTGGCTTTGACATACAGGGAGCCACTAACCTGTGTCAGATACAGAGGCTCCTTCCCATGTTCTTTGGGATCTGTGTTACAACAGAAATATTCACATATCTAGAATTAGGCATTTAGCTGACATACCTTACAATACAAGGACACTCAGGCGTGTGTGACTGCTTAAATGCAAAATTACCACAGGGATCCCAAAAGAAGGAATGAAAAGTGAGAAGCCTGAACAACTTGTTTAAATTTAGGAGGTTAAAAATAGAAGCTGTGAAAAGTCTGTTAAATTATCATGCCCTTATCTCTGGCCAATGCAAAATTGTTCCCCCTCAGTATGTTTTCTGGGTCTTTGTCTAGACTTTGTGTGTCTAGAGAGACATTGGTCTTCAGAACGTTGTACCCAAAAGGCATGGCTGAGTGTTTGCCATGGGTATTTTGTCAATATTTCAAGCTACCAGTATAGCCATATAGCTAAGGGAGAAGGTTACTCTGGAACTCTCAGTATTGTTTTCAGCTCCACAGTGCTTCAGCCTTTGCATTAATATAGTGGATGTTTTCCTCAGCAGAAGGCAGTGTCTATTTGTGTAGTTCTCTCTCACACAAAGGAAAATGTTAGAGGGGGAAATACAGGAGGGATAATGGTGTTTTTTGCTAACTGGAAAAATTCTCTGAAGCTAACAGCAGTTTCAGCCCTTCTTTTCCCTCTTCTTTTGCCAAGGATGGCACCCAGAGAAGACCTCTGCAACACCCACCGAGTGCAGTGCAGCACTGCGTGTATTTGACAAGCTGAGTTTGACACTCAGTGTGCAGAGTGTCAGTTTGTCAAATACCCCAAGTGAGGCATTTGCTGAGCAACACAGCGGCACACCAAGGTGACTGGCTCCAGGTACCCAGCAAGGTACTGAACAACCCATCCCATCGTTACTGGATGCTTGACTCTGATCCTGAGCTGTCAGGTTTCCCTTCTACCCCAGTTTCGGAAGTGCCTATTGGGATACTCCTTCTTAACAGCAAATCTGTACCACCAACAGAAGTGGTGCTGGTACAGTTCCTCCACACTGCGAAGGCAGAGAATTGGGCCCTGGCTCCTTCTTCGCAGCCAAAACCAGTGCTGTTCTCTTCCACAGCATTAACTAGCCAGCTGCTCATTTACAGTCCTGCTCAGTTAACAAGGATTCTGGCAACTCTAATCGCAACATCGTGGGTAAGGGCAGGGTTATCCATGATACAGAATCTTTTATTTGGACATGAAGGAATCTTATTTTATTTGCAATTGGAGTTCAAACTAATGAGGCTGCTGGTTAACTTCCTTTTATCCCATTAGCCAGTGAAGAGCATGTTTGTGCAGTCTCTTTTTAAGTTAGACCATGCAATCCATCACTTCTCAAAGCACTGATGTTTGCAGAAGATTCCTTGTTTTTGAATTGTAATTCCTAAACAGCACTTGTAGCAAGATTGCCTATTGCTTTTTTTTTTCCATTTCTTCTGTTTAGTTAAAGTAATTCCCTCTTGAAGATCTAATGATTGGTAAACATTTTTAGTAACTGACTTGCAGCAAATCAGATGTCCAGCTAGAGTTGTCTCAGGGTGGAAGGAATGATATAGCGTGGGAAGGCCCAGCCCAGTTTGACAAATCAAACTCTCTGAAAGCATTCAACATTGAAAACTTGGGAACTAAGAAAACCCCAAGACCCTACAGACTTGTTTTGGGACAGTACCATCAGCTAATTCTGCAATATTTGAGAATATTGGCAAATTTTAATGTTAAGCTTTGGGGCTTTTTGTTGCAACTATTTCTAACAAAATATTTTGAAGAAGTTGGAGTTTGGGCAAAGCTGGGACCAATGAATGCATATCATTGCCTAAGCAAATTGTGTTCTGCTTTTTGAATAGGTCCTGTCAGTAGGGCTTATTGTGCACTTCTGGACAAACATGGTCCTACTTGGTATGACTCACCTTCCCGTGGTCTCTTTCAGGCACCTACTCGTGACTCACAGACATCACCCTGATCTTTATCATTGAGGCCAGCTTCAAAGGAGAACGAAGTCTATGATTTCAGGGTTTGTTTTGTCCTGGTGAATCCTATCAGGCAACTGTATCAACTCCAACCCTTTCAGTCATCACAGCCCTCAAGCTTTCAACAGACCTAAACTCTTCTGCACCACAGCTAGCCAAGTGTTCATTTATGCTCTTCATCATTTTCTTGTGCATTTCCAGTTTTGCTTTCAGTAGACTTTGTCCCTTTGCTCTTTAGATGACTCCCCCAGCCCTAGCTCTTTCTGGATGGCTGGGGGGAAGGAGAGAAACGTTAATCCCTTCCGCTTTTATACTAACAAATACCAATTATGGTGGGACAACTTTATCTGAGACTTCCTCTCCCTTTCTCACTCTGAGAACAGCAGGTTCAGAAGGGCTCTGAAGGCAGGGGCAAACCTGAAAGTGTAAAAGCCAACAGGTCCCTTTTGTTGTACGTGCACCTCAGCTGCTCTGAAGCAAGGGGAGCTGCAAGTCTCATGACATTTTGTTGGCCACTAGAAATAGTGCAGTTTTTGGAGGCATTGTAGTTTCAGAGTGGAAGCTGAGGTTTCCTTTCTGGAAAACTGGCGCCCAGCACTTGAGTGACCAGAGCAAGGAAAGGAGAAGTTCTCTTGTTTGATGGTGACTCAATACAGCAAAGCCCTCTGTGACTTTCAGAAGAAAAATATTCTGTTTCCAATGGCTTTTACAACCAAACATGCCAAAAATATAATAAAACCCCACACACATGCTGCACAGGGAGAAACAACAACCCTGGTACTGGCAGGAGACTTTCTGTGTTTTCACTGTTCTATTTATGACCAAAGCTGTTTTGCTGCCCAAACTAGAGACAGTGGCAACATGAAGTGCATAGAGTCTGCTCCAGCTGGAGCATCTGCTGCCCCTTCCTTAACTCCTATTGCTTTCTTCCTCTGCAGCATTCTGGTCTCCTGAGAAAGCTTCCCTGACCTCCTCAGAGGAGATCAGCACTGGGAGGAATCAGAAGTTGGAAAAATCATGGTGTTACATAGTTAGTGAGGGAGCTGGGAGCTTAAAATTACAATAAATGAACAAAAGTGCATAAAACATTAGGATAACTGAAAATGAACAAAGATGGCACTTAGTGGAGGGTGGAGAGAGGAAGAGGGAGTGCCGTGTCTTGTGTTTTGGGCTTGGATCTGCAGAGGTGAAGATGGGGAAGCTAAGTTTTCAGTTCCCTTCCCACACAGCATCAACCTCGCACCACACTGCCCTGTGTGAGTACAAGCACAGCCACACCTTCCCCTGATTTCTTTTGTTCTGCACCCCCCAGATACTGCTGACACTAGAAGCTGCTGCTCCAGCCTGATGTCTCCTAGGCTGGCTTCTGGGAATGCTTGTGCCAGCTACAGCAAGTGAATTACCTCACCCCACGTGCAAAGTGTGGAACACCCTCACACACATTTGGAATGCTTCCTGCACTGCTTGCCTTTGGTCAGGGTATAGCTCTCCTCTCCAGGTGGGACAGGGGGAGCTGGCCAGTTCTGGCCACCAATATACAAGCTGAGATCAGTGTTTAGAGTGGGGCATTGGCACAGTCCCTGTAAAGACAGACAGGTCCCCTGGGAAGCACAGCAGCCTGACGCTGCAGCACAGCCATCTCTGTGTACTCCTTACTTTGTTTTAAAGCCTTCATAATACAGACAGGAGGCTTTTCTCACTGATCTTACCTTCATTGTCCTGAAGAAGTGTCACTGTGAGGCTCCTCCTTCTCATGCTTAGGCCATAAAAAGCTATGTGACCCTGGTATTAAGCTTCCAACTTGGGAAGATCCATGGCAGCAGACTGAAGCTTTGTGGGTCTAAGTGCCAACAAGGAGGGCTTACTTGGCCCAGAGCTCATCTGCTTCGCCATGCTCCCCTGGCTACACTAACTGGTTTAATAAAAGCCAGTAACTCTTCCCACAGATTTGCTTTGCTAAAGCCAAGTGGCATCCCCTCTCCATGTCCCTGATCTGCCTACCAAGCCTGTAGGCAAGCAGGATGCTGTCTGGCAGACAGGAAAAGCAGACCACAGGGGCACCCTGGGAGGCTCTGGAAGACCCCAGAAAGTAACATTGAAAGAATTACACACACAAGAAGAAGCAATAAACAGTTAACACTGGGAACATAAACTCTCATGGCATTATCATATTATGCACAGTATAGTTCCCATTATATAGTCTAGCCTTTAGAACATAACTACCAGTAGTAACTAGGAAAAGTAGCAATGTGGGAAGCTAACAGATAGCTAAGGTATGTCTCTAAACAGGAAAGTAGTATGAAGGGATTAAACATTGACATTAGGACAGAGCAGAAGACACATTTGTGTAAGTAAATAGGAATCGCAAAAAAAAAATGAGCCCTGTAGCTCAGGAACCACCTTGGTCAAACTGTGACCATGACTGTACCCCTGCCTGTTCTGCAGAATTAGATTAGAAGAAAAACACAAATTTGCAAGCAACAGAAAAGTGATGGCAGTGGGTGGTGAAAAACCAAGGAAGTCAGAACCCATATGCAAAAAAAAAAAAAAAACTCTTTTGAAGCCTTTTGTATTTGTCCTTGGAAAGAAAATACATTATGCTAATAAAGCACTTTTCAAGGCATTTTAGAAACACGAGCACTTACAGCATCCCCATAACATAGGCCAGTATGACTATCTCTGTTGTAATCACACTGACTCGTGTCCCACAGGGTGAATCACTGTCACTCTGTTGTGTCCAGGGAGGTCCCTTGCTCAATCATCGTTCAAAATGCCTCAAATTTCTCTCTATTTTATTATGCCTCTGGCCCCACATTGTAAAAATAAAATGCTAGCATTTCCTTCAAGAAAAATTCTGCTTTTCCAGGAAAAAAAGAAAGAGGGTGGCAGGTAGGCAGCTCATCGCTTACAGGGCCATTCCCTCTTCGTCTAAGCAATGAGCTCTGTTTTGATAGGGAAAATTACATTCCTAGAACATCAGCCCACGCTATGAGGTCTGTTTGCCATGCTCTAACAAAAAAGACATAAGGACAAAGAGGATGTACAACCAATATTTGTTGAGCTGTAAAAGCTAGAGGACAACAATTTCCAGCACAGTCCATGGCTCCTCACATTCCGGGATGTACAAACAAAGGAATATGCCCTTGAGAGTACACCTTGCCAGTGTTATTGGCAGTGTCGCACTCAGCTACACCAGATTAAAGACATTTGTGTTTCCACTCCTTCAGATCCAGTCTTCCTCACCTTGGACCTTCAGGCTGCTGAGAAATTATTTGCTCTACAGAACTAGGTAGATAACCACTTGGTGGAGGGTTTCTGCACCAATGGGCAGGCCTCATTTGCCAAAGCCCAAGAAGGTTCCCCTGAGTTAAAGGAAGTTAGTGAGCTAGGTTAAAGTGAGGCTGGTATATTTGTCAGAGCAGGAGGTAGACAGAAAGATGAGTTTCCTTTGGTGAAGTTTACCATTCAATATCTGCAGCCTGCACAACTACTCATATGCAAAAGATGGTACTCTGCTAAATTCTTTCTGTTTCATATTCCAATTCCATTGCATTCATAAGGTTCTCATACTCAGGATTTTTCCTCACGTGGATGCTGTCAAGGCTGCTGTCTTTCACAGTGAAAATGTCATTGGATGTTTCAGTCTTAGAATTTGTATCTTTGTGTGGGCACTTAACAGGGACTTCCCCATCAGTCTCCAGTCTGGTGACATCTGCAGTGCTGTGGCTGAAACAACAGGGAGACATTACTGAGGGGGCTGACTAGATGAGAAATCATTTGATTTACATCTTAGTCCAAGACAGTATCCACCACATGATCTGTGGAACAGCAAAGTTCATATTGATTGAATGAGGCTCTGGAAGACACTAGAAAGTAACATTGAAAGAATTACACACACAAGAAGAAGCAATAAACAGTTAACACTGGGAACATAAACTCTCATGGCATTATCATATTATGCACAATATAGTTCCCATTAGATAGTCTAGCCTTTAGAACATAACTACCAGTAGTAACTAGGAAAAGTAGCAATGTGGGAAGCTAACAGATAGCTAAGGTATGTTTCTAAAAAGGAAAGTAGTATGAAGGGATTAAACACTGACATTAAGACGGGGCAGAAAATACATTTGTGCAATTGTAAGTGAATAGGAATTGCACAAAATAGTACTTGGGTAAGCACTGGGTCATGCTTCTTAAAGAGAAAGGCATCTATAGAAAAAGGAACTTATCTCAAAGGAAGAGCTGAGAATTCCTGTCCATTGCTTTGTGGAATGATGGTGGGAATTTACTGCAGAGAATAGTTTTCCCATGGCACCTGCAAGGCATAGTGACGGACCCAGAATATCTTTCTCTCCTTCTAACATAATAAAGAACAGACTCTTGCTGCCTCCTGCCCTAAGATGTCTATGTCCTCATGCTAAACTGACTGTCAAGGCATTCAGATCCTCCCCCTGCGAGTCAAAGAACTGTCTGGCTTTTCACTGAGCAAAGAAAGAGGCTTTCTGAAAACAGACATCAGTGTGATGCCCCAAAATCTTCTTGATGTCCAGTACTCACAAAGCAACTTCATAGAGAAGTTCTGGAAAAAAAAGAAGAAGAACCGAAGCCGCGCATCAACAGGTTTTACAGGTGTCACAGCAAAAATAAAATCCAGCCGAACAACCCCAAACCAGACAAAACCCCCACCCACTTCCATGCATTCCCATCTTCGGGAATAAGCCTTCCACCCTGCCTCTTCCTAGCATGGACCGACTGGGGCTGGGGATGATGGGGATGCTGATGGAGCTGTGGCAAGCGCCGCGCCGTCCCGCCCTGCCGTCCCCTCGGTGCAGGGCAGCTCTCTGCCGCCCGGCCCGGCCCGGAGCCCCCCGCCCTGCCCTCCTCTCTCACCCTCCGCATTCCGCCGCCGGCACCGAGGTGCGGTCAGGAGCGCTCCAAGCGCGGCTACGCCCAGCGTCACGGCCAGCGCGGCCGGCAGCGCGTACCGGGCCGCGGGGAGACCTGCGGACGGGGGAGGAGAGCGCTGTGACCACGCCGGGGGAACCGGGGCCTCGCGGCGAAACGCTCTCTGCAAGTGCCCTAAAGCAAGCGTTAGCGCGGGCAGCGCGTTCCAGGCAGAACCGCACGGCGACCTCCGGGCGGAAAAAGCCCCTCGGCAGCGCCAGGGGCGGGTGGCTCCCGACGAGCGAAATCCCGGTGTTTGCCGCGCAGTTTCCAGCCTGCCCTCTCGCGTTTCCCACCGCGGGACTCCACTCACCCGTGGCAACGGGAGGCTCCTCCGAACCCCCCTCGGAGCGCGGCTTCGTTGCGGTCAGACCTGTAAGGAGGGAGGAGTGCGCTGTGACCCTGCTGGGGGAGCTGGCTTTGCTCGGGAAAGCAGCAGCAGGGCTGGCAGTGGCCTCCGTGGGGTCACCCGCGCAGCTCTGCGTGGATGTAACTGCTGCCCCATTTCGATGAGCACGGTTGATTCTCTCAGGCTAACATGTTTGAAGCGCGTGGAATGAAAACACCCAAAACACCCATTGAACCTGCTCTCAGAGCAACAAGACAGATTTTTATTCCTGATATATCATCCTGCACACGTGTGTTCCCCCCCCAGCCATCACCCCTGAGGTACCTGGTACACCTGCCCAGCATGGTGTAGATCTAGGTACCAGGCTTGTGGCTGGCAATAGCACGGCCAGGGAAGGCTTTGGCATCACCCTGTATCTGGGTTTCCACAAGACTTTCTCACTTCATCTCTCTTATGGTGATTCCCTGGCTGGTGTGAGGGGGGTTACCACCGGCAGCTACACCCAAAGGCTTCCTGGAGCCCCAAATCAAGTTTCTTGCCCCAGGTGACATTGTGCAACCTCCTGCTTTTCCTAGGCTCCTCTAGCTCTGGCTCAGCTGCTGTCCTGGGGGGTTCCAACCCACCTACCTGCAGCTGAGCACCCTCACCTGGGGAAAGCAGTGGCTGACACTGCTGGAGTCCCTCTCTGGAGACATTCAAAACCCACCTGGATGCATTCCTGTGTAACCTGGTCTAGGTGGCCCTGCCTTGGCAGGGGGGTTGGACTGGATGATCTCCAGAGCTCCCTTCCAACCTTAATGATTCTGTGACAGGGAGTATCATTTCTATCCCACCTGCAAAGAGGATCTGCAGCCCAAAAGGAGCATCAAGTGGATTTGTCTCACTCACCTTCTCTGTCACTCACAGAGTGGCAGGGTGAAAGCAGCCTTTCCCCTGCAGCCCAGGTCACTTACCTGTGGTCACTGGCTGGGGCCCATTGCCTCGAGGGGTGAACAGGGGTGTGGTGTGTTGGCCCGTCCCAGGGGTGGTCTGCTGTGTGACTGGGGACCCTGGGGGAGAGACTAATCAACCGGCCGTGTCCCCTGCTCTCTGTTAGCAGTGCAAGTCAGGTAAGAGCAAGACATGCCACGGGTAGGAGCCAGACTCCTATCCTGCACGGCGCTGGTCCCAAAAGAACACAGGGGACATTGTCGTAAACCCTGCCATAATCAGGCACACTCCGAAACAGGAGGAGTGTCAACCTGTGGTTTTCTCTCTGGGAAAGCAATGAGGACACAATTCATGTTTAACATTACATAGCTGATCCTCCTACGAAAGTGGAAACTCCTGCTCTCAGTCTTCTGCAGCAAAGATGAGGAACTCTATCGTGGGCACTCACCTGTCACTGTGAGCTCAACAGCATCGCTCTGCTGCACAGCCCCGGCCCCAGCCCTGTTTTCCACCTCACAGTAGTACTTCCCAGTGTCGGAGGGCTGCAGGCTGTCCCACACCAGCTCAGCCTGCCCGCTCAGCAACAGGGCTTTCCTTCCCGGGGTGCCCCTGAACCAGCGGTAGCGGATGGGGGGGGACCCGCTGGCCACACAGGTCAGGCTGGTCCTGGCTCCTGCGGGTACTGTGAGCCCCAGTTCGCCAGCCCTGATGATGGGCTTGGTTGCTGCCACTGGAAGACAAAGTAGATGGCATGAAAGATTATTCCCACCAGCTGCTGCTTCACCTTCATGCTCTGTGGATTATATTGGCTGCACAAGCGCAGGGCTTTACTGCTGGACTTACCTTTGACAACTTTAACCGCAGTGGTCACCTCCCTTGTGATCACACTGTTATTTTTGCTCCTCCAGGTGACTTGACAGGTGTAGTGTCCACTATCAGGGATTTCAAGGTTCTCAATTAAGAGTGAGGCATTCCCTGGGCTGTGCTTTGGGACACTGACCCGGTTTCGGAACTGAGACAGCAGGATGTGGTCACCGGAATAGTCCCTCCGAAAGATGGTGGAGGTGCTGTGGTCTCTCTCCATGCTCCAGATGAGCGTTTGCTGTGTGAAACCATCTGAGGGCATGTAGGTACATGGTAAAGTGACAGATCCCATCCATGTGCCCTGGACCTGGTGAACACCAGTCAGATCCAGGAGGGCTGCAGGCAACAAGAGTTGAAGGGAAGGAGTAAGAATGCAGCAGAAGAGGAGAACATCCTTCGAATTAGGTAGGAATCACCAGGCGGTGGAACCCAGCATGAGGTCATGGCTGTAGACCACAGCCAGCCAAACCAGAGCCTGTCCCAGCTTCACTGAGCATAGGGAAGTGAACAGTTGCTTTGACCTCATGGCTATTTTTATTTTTTTCCCTCTGGATGCTTGCCCATTCTCAGTTCCTTCTCGGAATAATTCTGAGAAGCAATTCTGAGAAGCACAAATCCAGCCCCTGATGGCAGCATCACAGCTACAGTCTTCACAAGACCTTAAGGAGCATCTCTTATTCCTGCTCTCTAGCTTCAGCCTTTACACCTTGCCTCTGCTGCTTGACTTTCTGCTTACACTTGCACAGGATGAATCAAAGAGCAAGAACTTTCCCCCACTGACATGGGATGATCTGACACCACCACTTTCGATGCTGAATTCTACCTTCTATGTGGGAGAAAGGATGAACAAAGCAACTTCATTGCTTTACTGCAGTTAACAATGAATGCAACATCTTTGCATTCTTTAACAGCACTATTTTTTATACAACTTCCCTGGTGCTCACAGGACCCAGCAGTATAGCTGTGCAAGGAGAAGCACTTCTCTGTGCAACAGCCTGTGCCAGAGCTGACAGAAGCTGCCAACTGGAGGAAGACAAGATCTGTGGGTCTGCGTCCATGGGGACAGGCAAGGGAATTGCTGAGGCTGAGCATGCTGGCACCTTGTTTCTGACAAGGAGCTTTGGTATTCCTTTACCAGATGACTTAGAGAGGGCAGGCACAGCTCTGTTCTTCAAATCTCACATTCCAGACAAAGGCAATTCCTTGATGTACCAGTTTTTAAAGATCTTTCATTTCTCTTCTTCCTCTTTTCACAAACTTCCATCAAGAAAAACTAAGAAGGGTGTAAGCTGGTGAGAAAGCTGCTCAAAAGTACCTTCAAGGCACTTGAGGCACTCAAGTTCAAGTATGTTTGCTATTCAGTGCATTCATCTGGACACAATTCTGTTTAAACATCCCTCCGGTGCTGTTTGCATTGCTATGTGCCATGAAATAGCTGCCAGCATCCACTGATTCCATGTGGAGCAGCTGTGCTCTGTATCTGACCAGTTTCAACATTAGCAGGGATGACTCCAAAAGAAAGCTGATTGGAAGGAATGGGAGAAACTCAGCAAAATATAAATCCCTGAGACAACACCTTTAAATGTAAATCCTCCCAGTGACTCTTCTTAAACTGGGGTGTGCTCTTCCAGACAAACAATGTCAAGTCTCACAAAAGAGGGAAATACAGCTGGACCAGAAAAAAAACTAAAGGTCTGTGTTAGAAGTTAGAAGACTGACCAGAGAGATTCATATTCTCTGTAATGCATGATAATGGGGGAAAAAAACAACAACAACAACAACAAAAAAAACAACCCTGAAATCATATTCTGTCCCATTTTCTAGAACAATTGAGCATCTTCCTTCTCAGCCTGCCAGCACCAGTGTACATAGAAATATGCCAGCAGGAGCCTTTAGGGATCTCCTCTGAAGTACTGGACCTGGAACAGGAATGGGGGACCAAAACCGCCCTTTTTGCTTTAGCCTTAGAGAACTTCAGATCTGACCTAGATTTCTTGGCTCAGATCTGCTTCACCCAAACAAGCACCCTGTCAAGCACTTAAGTGGACACAGGAAAAGAGGGTGGTAAGTTTTGGCTCATTCTCCCAACCATTCCAGCTCTCTGCCCACTGAGACCACAGCTCTTCTGGGAATTGCCCCTTGTAAGTAGCAAAGTACCTGAATTTAGCTGGGCTTGGCTCACCTCTACCCATACCCTCTTGTCCTGCTCCCCCTTTCCCCTCCTCCCCAGAAAGGTACTGGTTATGTTCAGATGCATTAGCTCACAGTAAGTCACTTGAGAGGCAGATCACAGCTGATTTTTTATGACAAAATAAGGAACATACTTCAACCTGTTTTTCTAAAGGTCAGGAGCAATTCTGTGCTTCTTGTTAAAGCACCTTTCTCCTGTTTCCCAAAACCATCCTCTGCTGGTGCCAGTGCCGTATGTGCCTCATGGGCACATGAACCAAAGCAAGGATTCCAGTATCACCTCGTCTAATGCACTTAAAGAGCCAGAAGATCAGGAGATTATCAGAGAGGAATCATGTGTGCCCACACCTAGTATCACAATCACAGCTCTTCTTCGCAGGACCATGCTAGCAGAACAATCATAATGCATTATTAAATTATAGGAAAATACACATTCCAGCTTTCAAAAGACTGCTTTGGATTCTCATACACCAAATCTGGTCCTGTCCAAGGCTCCTGAACAATCCTGTTTTGCTCTTGTTTTGGAGCATGGGAGCTGCACTTTTGCCCAATACCACCCCATTGCTCTACTCTTAAAAGCACCTTGTTGTATCTGATGCTAAAGGAGACTCTTGTGAATTCTCAGGCTCTGTTTTTTATACAAGAAACTAATGACTTTCCACAGTTGATAATTTTTAAAAATTAAGAAACTGTAATTCAGATCCCTACCTTGCTGGGGCTCTGACTTTTGTTCTTACACATTGAAGCATGTACTCACCGTTGCAGGTGACGAAAGCCATCACAAACACCACTATTTGCACAGGTTCTCCCATTCTCCCAGAACCACAGGTCTGTCAACCTTTCCCTGTGCTTTGTGAGAGATCCCACACTCCTGGGACAGAATGCAAGTGAAGAACACTTCCCTTTCTTCTGTCCTTTGTCATCTAGGATCCTCTTTCTGAAGGATCACGAGTCCATTTCACTGCTGATTAGGTGAAGGGTAGAGGATAGACAAAGACTATAAGGAGCTTTACAGTTCCATTTCATATTCCCATGTCCCCATCCACTCCTCTTACCAGTCTCCTGATTTTTCTGATGAGTAGTCTTTTTTATCATTCTTCATAGAATCATGGTATGGTTTTGGGTTGGAAAGAACCTTAAACCTTCTCTAGTTCCAACCCTGTGCCACAAGCAGAGACACCTTTCACTAGACCAGCTTGCTCAAAGCCCCATCCAGCCTGGGCTTGAACACTCCCAGAGATGGGGCAGCCACAGCTTCTTTGGACAACATGACTAATGGCAGAGGAGCTTTAATCCAGGAGGCATTCTGGGTATGCTCTGTAGGTGTACCTTTAAAGGTACATGCAAAAGTTATCAATAGGTGCTATGCGCAGGATTAATATGAGTCTGATAATTAATACCAAGAAGAGAAGGAATTGTAGAAGATAAGAAACATGTATAAAAGCAAGTAGACTGACATAGTGAATTCTGTTATAGGCTTTTAATCATTCATTAAAGCAGATATTTGGCATTTATTCAACAGATGTGCCTTAGCATATAGTTTTAACAACTGCACCAGAAGAGTATCATCTTTGAGCAGGAGGCAGATGCACCCAAAATACAGGAGACAGTTTTGGTTGGAGCTGGGAGGGAAAAGTAATTGCTGCAGTTTTGCCACAGCTACAAGCATCATGACAGATACCTGTTTGCTTCAGCTGAAGTGTTTACATTGCAGATGAGCTCAGACCATTCTCTGGAAGTGCTGCCACTTGTCAGTGATGGCTTGTTCCCTCTCTGCACAGGGCAATGAAAACTGGAGGCTATCTTCATTTTCCCAAAGTCAGTAAACTGATGAGAACCGTGCAGGTCTCATTTCAGTGTTCAGGTGGAGATGTGTGCACACTTGGATGGCTTGCTGCATGTGATTTCAGCTGAGCTCTCTTATTGCTGTTGTAAAACTTGCCTCTGGTAAGTATGGACAGCCTGGAGCAAAAAGCTGAATGTCGTGTGGCAAGACCTAGTGAAATAAATCTGTTGTTCCAGGCTAAGAGCTATCTCCAGTTGTCATCCTGCTGAGGAAGACAATGGAGGCAACAGCACAACCCATTCTTGCAGAGCATGTCCTTGCTGATGCGGTGGAAACTTGATTTTTGCTGCCTTTTCTTCTTGGCTATTTTGTTGAAGCTTCCAGTGGTACCTGTTCATACTGTCTGTACCCCATTTGCCACCAAGAAGCCATTAGCTATGTCTGAGTCCTGCCTAAAAACAAATGAACAAAACTGCACTTGTTAAAATTCAAGTGATGCTACTTGCAGAGTGAATAGGTTTATTTTCAGAGAGAGGATATAAAACTAATCCTTTACACACCCTGGCCATGACTGGTGATAGAAGCTTGTCCCAACAAACTACTTCTACACAAGACTTTAGCAGAAGCTAAATTTTGGGGAACACACCCTGGAACAAGCTGAAAACCCAAGCTGAAACTGCTGATACGACCAGTTTGTGAACCGGACATGCAAGGCTTCCTGAAGCGGTAAGTCTGAAGGATAAGGAAAAAAAAACCAAAAAAGACTACTTAGCTAAAACAAACATGAAGAACTGCAGTTCCTCAAACATGATGTACGTGACATCTTTCTCTCCTTAGTACAGAGATGTGGCTGCTAGTTTTCTCCTCTCAGCCTCTTTCTTTCTTACCAGAGGGGCTCCTCATGAACATGTGAAGAAAAAGCCTTTAATGTCTCAGATACTATGGTTAGTTACCTGGTTTATTATAATAAATTATGTCTCTGCTTCTGATTGAATCTGCTGCTTTCTCCCTTTAGCCCCTCCCCCTGCAGGACCCACCTTCCTTTCACAATACTGGAAGTGACACACTTCCAAGCATCACAACTTGGGCAAAGTGACCATTATGACTCTTTGTTCTGCAATTTCTGCTGCTACATCCCAGGCTAATTAGAGGTGGCACAGTAAAGTCCCCATTTCCCCAAAAATGAGCGCAGATGGGACTGCAGACACTACTCTTAGGGACGAGCTCTGCAGAGCCTGCATCTTACACTTGTGTTTTGACAAAGTACGCCAGAGGCTACAGAAGTTTGCTACAGGTTTCCTGGTGATGAAATGAAAGTTTTAGCCTGCAGGAGGGTGGAGTTCAGTACCAGGCTTTGAGCAAATAACTAAAATTTAAGTAACTGAAGAAGAAAGGTCTTATAGTTCTCTTTTTGAGCCATCTGCAAAAGAAGGCAATTTTTACTGCAAGTCTTGAGACATTCTTATTTGGTACAGCCATGGTTAGCTCACAGATCTGACTAAACAGAAGAGGAAAGAATTCATGATGCCAGCTGCATTGCCGTTCTTTGCTCATACAGAATGTCGCCCTCTCCTGAAAAGCCAAATCCACTGGTCTGGATGGCTGTACCCCCACCCCAGCACTTACAGAAAGAACAAACTCTTCTCCTCATTCCTCAAGCAGCACATGACGCGTCTACCTCTCTGCTCAGATGTTCTCCGTTGCTTGACTTTGGAGCTCTGCTTATTGCTGCCATAAAACTCGCAGCAGCAGGTTCTTTTCTGCTTCCCGGTTGTTCCATATAGCGCTGAAGCCCCATATTACCTCTTAAGTACGTTTGTTTCAGGGATGGAGCTCTAGACAGGTGGGCTGCTTTCTAGTAACAGAGACATTCCCCTCCAAACCCCTCCCTACCAAACAAGTGCACACACACGCACACACACACACACACACATTTTAAAACCCCCATTTTAAAGAATGAGACCATTACTGAAGGGCTCCAAGAACTGCAACCTCATCTAGAACTGGAAGATTAGAAAACATTAGTTTCCCAGGATGTTTCAACACTCTTGTTTTGTCATCACATTAGCACACTATCCAGTCATGATTTGCTGTTCTCTGGAAAACTCTTTTAGTGATAACGGTGTGCCTTGCAGTACTATTGCAACAGTTTTCCTCCCCTGCTCACTTTCCTCCTTAGAAATAGAGACTGTCAGACTTCACTGGCTTTTTACACACTTCATAATGGAAGTCATTTTCTTTCACATCCAAAACATCTCATTTCACCAGCTCTGAACCTCAAATAGGACTAGCAGTGACTCTTGCACCTTCTGTTTTCTACACTGTGGCCGACTACAGCCTGCAAACATCAACTAACAACACCCAAAACATACCCCAAACTCCAGCAGATTCACACTAATTCCTCTGCTTTCAAGTAGAGGGACCTAATACGCTCCTGGACACACACAGACGTTCATGCACATTCAACCTTTCTGCCAAAATAAAGAGAAATGTAGCAAAATCTACTAACTTTACAGTCCTGAAGTTTAATGGTTTTCATTTGCTTCCCTGTATCTACAATAAGCTGTATGTACATCTTGACAATTTTTTCCAAGACATCATCACTAACCAAAGTTGCTGTTTGTTCCCTCTCCATTTTGAAATCAGGGTTTCCCAGCTCTTGTTTTTTAAGCACATTCTTAAAGAGAAATAAAACTGGTACAGGAAATTCAGGAAATCTCCTTCCTTTTATCTTTGGAGAAACCATAAACAAATACGCTCTATTCGTCTTCTCCACAGTGTTCATGATGAGTAAGATTTGCTCATTTTGCCTCATTCTTCTCTTTTCTTCGGGTTCAAAAAGCTGAGAAAGTATAATGCGTTTACACAGAGGTGGTTTCATGCCACTACTGAGCCTTATCTTTCTCAGTAACTTTTCTAGCTCTGTTAAACCCTTTCAAGATGAGACACCTACACGCATACATAAGGTGGAAGCATTCCATGAGTCCATTATCACAATCCTGTTTTCTGTTGTGTTGTAATGCTTTTCCTAATAGCATCTAATACTGTCTTGGACTGCTGGTGAATTTTGAGCTGATGCTTGCAGAGAATTGCCCACCTTTCCCGAGTGTGAACAGCAAATCTGGGGGCCCACTAATCCAATATCCTCCTTGCCCCTCAGGTTGCTCATTTTGTTTTACATCTGTCTGCATGGCTTTTAATCTGACATGCTATTGCCCAATTGTTATAAAAAGGTTCTCCCATAAATCTGCTGTATCCATGTTATAGATTTACTTAGGATAGTAGAAATTATGAACAACAAAGCTTTTCAGCTCCCTACTTGCCCTTTCCTTCCTAAGCCAGGAGGAAAGTATTTCATGAGCATCTTTTGAGGAGTGCTTGCTGGCATTTTAAAGATGAGCTGGTCACACAAAAATATTCATATCAAAATAGTTTAGGAGTGTGTAAACAGTTTTACCCACAAACTTAGGAAAAGCATCTATTTCCTTTTAAATGTTACACATGCATTAAAAAGGGGAACAGAGAAAGTGGACTCAGGAAGAATGTACCTTTTGCAGTTTCAGAGCCACCCAAGCCGTCCAGCGCCAAAACTATAGAAAGCGTGCCTGCACTTTACTGCAGATGATGCAGAAAGGTGAATTGAGCACAGAACAGGTTTGGTGGTTTTCTTTTAACTCCTAGGGTGGTAGAGTTCTTGGTTTTATCCTGTCCTTAATCTGTCTTTCAGTGTTTCTTTAAGGGCTGTCTCACATTTAAGACATTCTACCACCCATGCAACACTGAGGCGTGTGGGAGGAGAGATGCCAGTTCCCAGGCCAGCCTCGTTCTGCACTTCTTACTGAAAGATGATGAGGATGTTGAGCCCCTCTTGCTGCTGGTTCTGCTCCTACCACACGAAGGCTGTGAATGCAGATCCTTTTGGTATTGCAAAGCGCTGAGTTAGTACAGTGCTCTTGGCCTGGGATCTGCATACCCTGGCTTTTAAAGGGCTTTCTTCTACAGAGGGGGTGGAAGGAAACCAAAAATGGCAAAGTCAGGAGGTCTATACAGCAGTTTGCAACAAAAGTTCTCAAAGAGCTTTGCATTTTCATTGAAGAGATTGTTAAGGCTCCACAAGTCATGAAGGAGCAAAAACTGCTTGTCCAACTTATTTTAGAGA